GAGTTGTACCTAGTTTTTTCTAGCAATACCGAGCAAATACCTAGCAATACCGAGCAAATCCCTAGCAATACCGAGCAAATCCTGAGCAAATACCGAATTGTACCGAGTTGTAGAAAAACTCGGTACAACTCGGTATTTGTATAGTTTTGGTCTTCACAGAGCGGTATTTCTCGTTTTTACAAAGCAATACTGAGCAAATACCGAGCAATACCGAGAAAATCGCGAACATAGCATTCTCGGGTTCCGTTCCGGGTCAAGTCGTCGGGCCGCGCGGTAAAGAGTAAGAGCACGTGGCGACATGTTATTGACGACCGAACGTAGTACCTCTACGTCAGGTCAGATGACGTAATAATTGCTCCTATATAAGAGTACAAATTGAAAGAAAAAAAACATAAAACATAATACTTATACACAAAATAATAAAAAAGATATAGACAACTGAATTATCTTTCCAATGAAAGCAAGTCCATTAAAAAACACATTCTTTTTTTTTTTTTTTTTTTTTTTTTTTTTTTTTTTTTTTGAGAAAACCACACGGAAGAGACCTATGCGTTAATAACAAAAAAGGGTACAAGTCCTTAAAGGTTCCAAAGCATTCTAAAATACATCAATTGAATCAAAACCTATAAGCCTTAGAAACCAACTAATTACAAAAAGAAACTCAAACTAAAAGAAAATAACAGGAAGAAAAGTCACCAAAGCCATGCACGGCTAGTCCCAACAACCATATAGAGCAGTCCCTACAGTAAAAGGGAGGCCAAAAAATGAAAAAATAATGAGCAAGCATAATAACCATCAAGAAGACACCCACCACAACACTAAACCTCCATGAATCCAATCGGAGAACAAAACCCCCAAAGTCGAACCCTCACCCACCCAACCAAACAGACTAAAATTATTTCTTCCTCCAATTTCGCCTACCATGCTAACCACCACCACGAGAGAAGCGTTTATGAATATTACAGCTTAAATTTAAACTATATAAGTCCTGAAACTCCTCTGACGGCTCATCCAAACCCTCTCCAGCTTCTTCGCAATGTGAAGAATCATACCCATCCCGCCAATCTGATTGATCCACACAATTTTCAATCACATTAGAAGACAATTTTGACTTGAATTCATCGAAAGACATAAGCTCAATGGGCACATTTACCAAAGGCACATTCTCCATCCCCCTCAAGTTATTGTTCAAACCAACATCAACAACATAAATATCATCACATTCCAAAGGCACCTCAGAAATCATAGCAGCCATAGAACCAAGAGTAATACAAGCCATAGGATAAGAAGAAATACAATTACAACCAGAATTCAAAATAGCATCACATTCATTTCCAATATCAGACAAAGGGGGACTAGAGCTGACATTAATCAAATAATTATCATCCAAAACCTCTATATCACTCACCTGGATCATACAATTATTAGTCCCAGGCTCGATCGTAGGATCAGCCCCTACAGCAGTCGACGGTCCTTCCCCCACAATAGGAACCACATCAATTCTAGAGTGAGGAGAGACCCTGCATTCCTCTCCATTAGCACCAAACGGATTACCAAACCCCCCCAAAATTACATCAGCGAAAAACTCATTAATAATAATAACATCTTCCACCATCAAACAATTAACATGCAAAGAAGGGATATAATCAGGAATAACATCATTAAGTTGATTATCTTCCATAACAGTAGCTTGCCCATCATAATTATTTAGAGAATTAGCAATAAGAAGAACAACAACCACATTTTTACCTAAGATATTCTTATTTGAATCAGCAATAGCATTCCCAACAAAAGTCCCCTCAAACTTAAAAGGATATGAATTATTAGAAGGAACCATCGCAGAAGGGGCCAATACGGATGTGTCCATTAGAAAACTCATTCATTTGAAGCTTTAACAATTATTTTTCTATGGTCAGCATAATGTAGTCCACAGAAAAAAAAGTCACTTTAAATGGTTTTTCTATAAAGAAGTTTTAGTAAGAAAATTCGAAATATTAAACAACAATAGTATTATCTATAAAAAAATTCAACTAATTTTGATAAATACATAAGCCTCAAGAACTTCTTTAAACATGAAAATCAATAAAATAGTTAGATTATGTTAGGATTGGTCAAGTTTTAACTTGAATTGTTCCGCAAGACATCACATCGGTGTACAATTTCTATACATCTATGTATAGGGATGGCCCTTGTAATAAGCTCATTAAATATAGGAATAAGAAATTACTATGATTCCTCTCCTTCCCTAATCATATGATTTATTGGAATCATAAACCATCTTCATTGCATCGTCACACCTTTTTTAAGTCCCCAAGAAAATTTAATGATATTTTATAACAAATTTTATTACTTACAAAATTCAACAAAGCCTCAACATTCAATTTTGGGCTGAGAATTTTGAAGCCAATTTCTTCAATAATTTTTGTTATAATTGACTCAACAACTTCATAAAAAGCTAGAATTATGGTTTAGAAGACTTTACTTGATTTATAGCTTCATGGGAATGTCTAAGTTGACATACATAGTAAAATTTTTCAAAGGCTCAACGTATTATTGGATGATACATATTTAGACATCCAAAAATAAGGGGCAAATGATACATCTTGACAAAATTCTTCTGATCCGGCTTAAATTTTAATGAAATATTTGAGTTGAAAATTTTTGTAATTAAATTCAAGCATTTCTAAACTCTTATTTTAAGAAAATTACAATTGAAATGAATGCCCATATGAGATGAGTTCTAAATTCTAATACATCAAAAGTAATTCAAAAAGAATTTAAATGAGCCCAAATCAAACACTTGAAGTATAATTAAAGAATTTGTGACATTAGTTAAATAACTAAACTATTATTGAATCTTATATATTTATAAGCAAAACCAGCAACTTGATCCCCCTCCCCCAAAAAAAATCTAAAATTATTCCGCATTTTAAAATCTTAGTATTCAAAATTATTTTTCTTAAAAAGTTTAATTTATTCAAAATATTAATTCTATTTTATAAAAACAAATTTATGCATTTTAAAATATTATTTTAATTAATTTATATATATATTTTTAAAAAATTTCATCCCAAAATTGTTTTTTTTTTTCTCCTTTCATTTCCAAAGCCATCAGCGCACGCAAATGAAGGCTTAGCAAGCATCACACAACTCTTCCTTCCCAACAAAGCAACGATAATAGCTAGCCTTCCTTCCCATCATCAGACTTCTATTTTGCTGAGGATGATGAGAAAAGGACCGTCGCATATAGCAAGCTCATAATCTGCATTATACATAATAGATCTTTCGACCAAATAATCCCAATAATGTTTTGGTGGCACGGTGTGGCGGACCCCATCAGATGATTCATATCTATCTGTCTCATCTCCATGGACACATGGGTCATTGGCCCGCTACACATAACTACATTTTAATATATAATCTCCTATTATTTAATTAATACCCATCCCTACTGGCCCCTTCTGCAAGCTAAGCTATGAACTGTTCTTCCTCTTTTTTTTTTTTGCTTATTTTAATGGAATATCACGTTGATTTCTCTGTTTATTAATGGCCAAGAGGGAGAGAGAGAGAGCCACTATTTGTGTTTAGAGGGGAGAGAGAGGAGAAGAGAAGAGGTTTTTTATAGAAGAGATCGAAGTCTTACCGTTAATTTGTCCTCTCTTCTCTTCTTCTTCTTCTTCTTCCTTTTCATCTAATGGAAGAGGAGGAGGAGGAGAGGCGGAGGGAGAGAAGTAGAGTGGATAAGCTTCTGTTCTTCGTCTTTGTTTAAGAGAGGGAAGAGATAGAGAGAGAGAGTAGAGATAGAGAGAGAGATGGCGAGTGGAGGGAGTAGTCCGCAGTATTACAGGTCGAGGTTTGGGGACACGACTTTGACGAAGGTGTTTGTGGGAGGATTGGCGTGGGAGACGCCGACGGAGGAGCTTCGGCGATACTTTGAGCAGTTTGGAGAGATTTTGGAGGCGGTTATTATAACCGATAAGAATACTGGCAGATCAAAGGGCTACGGATTTGTATGTTATCATTTCTTCAACTCTCTCTCTCTCTCTCTCTGTATTTCCTTCTCTTCTTCGGTTTCATCACAGTGGAAGATCATTAAACGATTGGTTTCAAGGTTATTTAAGCGCTTAATGATCCAATCCCTCGTTCATCTTCATGGAATATGAAGCTAATCTCTTTCTCTCTCTTACAAACTTACATATAACCTCGAGGACCTATACTTCACAATTTACTAATTTAGTCGTATTTTGAAGGTCTGGGCTATCCTTTTTCTCTCTCTTCATATATATAATACATAAAAAAAAAAACCATGAAAGTATAGTGATAGAACATTTTTGATCTTCCTGCTTCGTTAAAATTAACACAACAGAGTTTTAATGATTCTTTTTAAGATCTATTCATTTCATGAACTACTTCTATATTTTTGATGAGATTATAACCGCCAAATTTCCTCAGTTAGCAAATGCCAGCTCTCAATCTTTTATCTTCTATTACTTTACTTGTTCATCAGGAGAGGTTTATTGATTAATGAGCTGGCTGGGCCTACTTAGCTTGCATTGGGAAAATAAATAGATAGGGTTTCCACCGAAACATGGGGCCGGCTTTTTTAGAATTAGTCAGATTTCTTATTATTATTATTATTATTATTATTATTATTTACTTGGTCTTAGTCATTTTATTTATTTTTTTATTTAAAATAATGAGCTTAAAATATTTGTATATTGTATAAATAATATTTTATTCCAAGTTGGGCTTATCCTTTGGGCAGGTGACATTTCGAGACCCCGAATCGGCGAGACGGTCCGTGGCGGATCCCAACCCGTTAATTGATGGGAGGCGGGCCAACTGTAACATTGCTGCACTGGGCCGGGCCCGACCTTCTCCTCCGCGAGGTAACGTACCACTACAACTTTCAAGTTTATCCTATAACATAATTATTAGTTTATTAATTTTATTATTAAATGACGACTAAGAAACTATAATTATTGGCAGTTTAAATTACATTATTTTATTAAAATCTAATATTTATTTTTATTATCCTGCTAATTAAGGCCATCATATTTCGGTATAATAAAGAGGTTTTATTTATTTATTTATTGGCTAATTTCTAATGGAATTTTACTTCTTTAATTACCGTATATGTCCCGCGCATCGTGAGCTATATAAAGGCGTTGATAAGATTAAGATAAGCATCTACCGACAGCTCACCGGATAAGGACCCCCACCATTTGGTAATTGTGGACCCGGTTGAGTCGGCTCGGTTCTTGACCCAATTCCAGCTCGGCCGGCTCAACCAATCCTTATTTGAATTCCGACTAATTACAGAAATAGATTTTATTATTGCTATTTTTTATAATTTAGAATAATAAAAAAAATCTTAATATATTGTAAATATAATTACACATATAATTAAATATAAAATGTGTTTATATGAGATTATTAAGTTTTTTAGTCTTTTTAGGTGCCCGTTGGAGAGGTAAAATTGTTTTGTCTTTATGTTATTTTTTCTTTTTAATTTCTACTACTTTTTTTAATATTTTTAATATATTTTTTTAGTAAATCATTAATAAAAGCTTAATTAACGTTGACAAAGTTTGGTAAAGGAAAAGGCCAATGGTTTATAACAACTTGCAACTGTTTTTGTCAGTTTTTAATGTGTGGGCGCTCATTTAAGCTTTTAGACCAAGTAAATGCTTATAATTATAAAGTCATAAATCAAAGGAGAAATTGTCAGCCCCAGATAAGCATCAAGGGAAATTTGACTAGATGATAATAAATTATTTTTTATTTTAAAATAAATTTTAATTATTTAATATCCCAATTTTCTTAATAAATTTTTTATCTTGATAATTGTGACATAATATAATCATATTATTATTAAATTTTTGTCCGCTTATTTTTAAGAATTTATACATGATTGTTTGATAAATTTTAAGTTAATCGTGGATTACCTAACATAATTATTTACTTTTAATAACAGGGTTAATTTTATAAATAATATTTAAATTCCAGCAAAAATAATATTAAAATAATAATTTATCCAAGTTGAACAGGCATCTATTTTTTTTTGGGACATTTAGGCCATTTAAGGCAAACTCACACACACAACGCATACACATAGACTCGAACCCTGAACCTCTTAGTTGGAAGCCTAAGCTCTCAACCGATAGGCCCAGGAGAGTTGTGTGAACAGGCATCTATGACAATTATGAATTTACACAATTGTACTGTCATAACTGCATTTGACTACCAATGAAAATAATGGCTAATAAATGACTGGTTCAATAATTTAAACAGGACGAGGCCCAGCAGCCGGGAGCATTTATCAGGGCCCACCGCAAGCAGCGGGCCCACCATACACCAGAATGCCAGCTCAAATGCCGCCTCCTCCTCAAGTTTTCTACCCTTCGCCATATGGGTAAGTCCACTTGGAGAAATGTCTGAGTTATACTGGAGGGCCGACGATCAACCTGTCTAATGGGCCCATCGATTGGGCCCATTAAACAGATATATCGATGGTTTGATGGTCCAATCCTCAAACTCTTGAATGCCGTGGTCCCTTTAGTTCTTGCTATGATGACACATTGTCCACCTCAGCTTGGGCTTGATTAGGACCCATAAACGTTTACATTGGGCTTAAGCCCATTCAGTTCCAACAGTATTTCATCATTTAGTTGGATATTTAGACTTCGTTTGGGATGGCTTTTTTCCTACTTTTTAAAACAATTTTTTAATAAAAAATTTTAATTTTTTTACTAAAAAATGCTTATAGAAACAATAAGAAAGCCATACCAAATGAAGTCTTAGTTGAATGCAGTTAATAAATTGTAGCATTAATTTATTGGTCATTTACGTAACTTTATATAGGCTTTATTTGAGATAGCTTTCTTACTAATTTATTTTTCAGATCTAAATCATAATTTCTATTTTATCGCTAATTTTTTATTGCTTATAAAATAATTTCGTACTAAAAAAGTTGTATTCTACAACATATTTTTAAAAAGTTACTTTTCCTATATCAATTCTACAAAGCACTAAGAAAGTTATCCCAAACGAAGTCATAGTCCGAACATTTTAAAAATTTTAATTTTTATCCATAGTTCAATTTTTTTTATTTTATCAAAGTTATTTGCCTCTCTTGATATTTTTCTAATTTTCTTTTGCAGGTATATGACCTATACCGCAGAATATGGGTATCAACCGGTAAGTCTCTTTATAACTCTCATCATCAGAAATAAATAGAACTCTGAATATTTTTTGACTACTCTTAAGTTTCATTTGGGACAACTTTCACATTACTTTTTAAAACGACTTTTTATTACAAAAATTTCAAAATAAAAAATATTATATTAAAAAACTGTTTTAGAAAGCAAGAAGAAAACCATCCGAAACGAAGCCTGAATGGATATATCATTAAAGTCTTATCCCTCATAGGATGGATATATATGACAGGGCATGTACAATCCTCAAATGGCATCACAGTATTATCAACAGATGATGTATGGTGCGACAGCAGCACCAAACATTGGCCATCAGCCATATAACTATCCGCATATGAATTACATGATTCCATCACCCAGGACGAGCTTTCCTCCATCCATGATGCAACCTCAACAAGCTGCTGCTCATCGTCAACCGTATGGCCATAACGCCATGGGCATGCCTCACATGGACATGGATGGATCATTCTTCCCATCATCCGGATTGCCTCATGGCCTTCAGCTTCAGCTTCCACCGCATATCAGGCAATCACTCCCAACTCCAGGTATGTAGTTAATGGAATCTATTATCATTATTTGTTTTTTTTTTTTTTTTCCTTTCTTATTAAGCTAAGTTTTTTCGAAGGGTTAGGCTTTATGCAATTTTTTTTATAATTTGAATTAAAAAAAATTAATTTATAACTTTACAAGTAAAGAAAATAATTTATCTTTGGATATTATAGTCCAACAAAATATTTTTTTTTTTTGGGAGTTTTACCCGAATTAAAAGTTATAATAGAGATATTAACGGGAATTAATAGGTAAATTTTATAGGTTAAAAAGTCAAATTTCCTTTATATATATATATATATATATATATTAGTTTTCATTGTTTGTAAAGAATAAGAAACTGTTGTCCTTGTAAGAAACTTAAAATATTTATTCTTATTTTTATAGAAATATTTATTTATATATAAATAATCTTAAATTTTATTTTATAACAATATGTGGCTCAACATGGTCTGTTAGTTTTGGCTATCAACCAATGGTCATGAATTCGAGTCTTTCGTATGTGATGTCTATGTAAATTTTCTTTAATTTACTTAAATATATAAAAATAATAATTCAAAATCATTTAATAAATCCAAATACTAAAAATTCTTCCTCACAAAAAATTCCCTCAATGCATCATTAGAGAAACTTTTTTTTTGTATTTTTAAAAATATGTGTAACTTTCATTATTTTTTTGCAAAATTATATTAAATTTGTGAAGAATATGATGGCATATTACTCAATGTTATACTCTACTTTGGTTTCGTTTGGGATAATTTTTTACAGCTTTTTAGAACAAAAAATTTTTAAAAGCCACAAAAAAATATTGATCAAAAGATGTCTCAAATGAAACCTTAATTATGCTCTTAATTGATAAAAAGACCTTTATATTTTACCGTTACCGTGTAATTTTTAAGAAATATTTAAAGACTTTTATATGAATATATTTTTATCTTTTTAAAGAATAACTAAAGATCAAATAATAGACATATTTAAAGAAAATACAATTTAAAATATCTTTTAACAGACTTTTAAAAATTTTAAAAAATTTTAAATTCCACGTCAAAAAATTTTAATCATTTTTTTAACACTGATTATTAATGATGTGACTAAAAATATTTTTGACAATTTCACTATCATTAATGTTCTCTTAGTTATTCCTCTCCTTTTAACAAAAATTATTTCTTTATTAATCTTTAACAAACATTATAAAATAATACAACCAGAAAAATCGTGAGGCACATTTGGTCACATAATGAAATCATATTAAATTTGGAATTAATACGTTTATAAACTATACTGGCCATAAATATTAATTACATAAAAGAATAAAAGTTTTTATACATTGATTATCCATCCTTTTTAATTCACAATATCATATTTTAACTACTAATATTTTTTTATATAATAACAGTTTAATAATCTATGAATTATAGAGAAATGAGATGATAATGATTTATTAAACAATAAATTAACAAAATCAATGATTTGAAATTTCAGATTCTCAGGCTTCTTCTCAGCCATTATCGACAGATGGTGGGAACAATGAAAGCTCAGATGTTTAACAATGGCATTTTATCTCTGATCATTGAAGGAATATTAAGGAGAAATATGTTGGAGATGACTAATTAGTCTGACTTGATGGAGAAGGTTGAGGAGGATGATGAAGAGAAGATTACCACAAAGTCTGGAATCAATTAATTTCTGATGTGTTTTTTTCATTTCCTTCTCAATTTTATTCTTTTGTCATCATTTTCAGGATATTCCTTTTTTATCACTCATTTATTTATAAATAACATGTGAATAAAATGATTTTTCTTTCTATTTATTTCATTTTAATAAGTGTAGATTAAAATAATTGGGTTGGGTGCTCAAGATGGTCATGAGTGGTTCAACTCTATTTAGTTTCATTTGGCTCTACATTTTTGTCTAATTTAATAATTAAGAGTAATTAGCAATATAAATTGTGTCAAGGAAAGCAAGAAAAAAATATAAATTGAGCTATCAATAAAGATTGTCAATAGTCACAATAGATGGCAAGATCATCAAAAAATGGAAGAGGTTTGATGGCATTGGTTGTTGGAGATGATGTTGTTGACAATAGAAGGGAATTGATCATTAGTTAGAGTGATGTGCTTAATCGATATGATTAAGATAAATAAATGAGGACATTAAATATGAAATTTAGAGTCTTAGATTTGATATTGAAGTATAAGTGAAAATATTGGATAAGATAATGTATTCATTGGATTTAGGGCTGTCAAAATCGGATCACGGGTTGGTTTCGGGTTCAACTTGGAATTAACTAGATATTAGTTGACTCAACATGAACCTGATCTACACGGGATAAGTAATTTACAAGAGTGTAATAGCATGCGGATCAACTTAATCTAAAACTGGATCAATACATACCATTTTCAATTAACATTTATAATGTAATATCAAATTTTGTTTAGAATTTTTTCTTGTATATAATTTTTTTATATATAAATTTCCCGCCCCCTCCCATGCAATCATGAACACTGATTTTTTTTTTCCAAAAAGGTAATAATCTTATTCCATGAAAATAAATGAAGTACATCAAGGGTTAAACCAGCAGAATGATCGGAAAAGAAATCGGATACAGAAGAAGATAACAATGGTAAGCTCAATCGAGAAGGAAAGTAGGCACAAAAAGCAACCAGACTCAGTAAAGGCAAAGACTTCCAATCACTCCAAATCCCGATACGGAACATCCGGAGCAGTGAATGAGCAATAATCCACCAAAAAGCCAACCAACCGCCAGCATCGCTCAAAGAACCACCACCAAAGGTTGCCAACTAGCCACAAATCCAGAGTGATAAACCCGAGCCACATCATAGCCCAAACAAAACAGATAATCTGCAGGGCCGAAAAAGAACTCATCCATAAAAAGCTATAAATTGCCAATAGAGTATAAGAAACAAAACACCAACACTGTAGCACTCCAAAAAAATGCTATATTTTAGATTTCCGCTTTCGACATTTACCCACCCAAAAGTGATCATCTCACAAAATACCATTCTGAGTACCCGCGTCCATTTCTTCAACCTCAGAAGAAGAGGAGCATTCAAGCTAATCAGTTTGCCATCTAACACTGTCCCCCGGTCTGTCACCCACATGGGCAGCTAAAGCATTAGTAGAAATTAAATTGATTGGGACCTCAACAAGCTGGCCATACACTTGAACAGTAGGAGAAGAAACAATAGGTACCACTTCACAAGAAACCACAGCCAAATCCATTGGAGTATGAGGAGAAACAACATGGACTGAACCACTAGACAGCTCATGCCCAACTTCCTTATTAATCTCACATAAATCATTATTCTTATCATTCGAACCTTCCACAGTTATATGAGAAAGACAATTACTCATAGCATAAGGCCTACCCAAATTTTTAGAATTCTTAACAACCCCCAAAAATTCTGGAAAACACAAATCAAAGGGTCAACCACAACAGGTGGCAAAGACGCATGTCCATAAGGCAAAACCTCTACTGTAACGAGGGGAGGACAACCATGAAAATAATCCGTGGGAATAGGCACATCCGCATAACATGGCAACTCAGCTAATTGATCCACAATGACAATAGCATTCGCATCCCCACTCCCAACAGCAATATCAACAGGACTACAAGCATGAGCATCATCAGCATTAACCCTACTACATGAAACATGCTCATTAGAAGCCTTAGAACAAGCAAAAGGTAAAGGCAAAACACCCTCCCCAAGCACAACATTATTAACCCGCCCGACAGCAGCATTAGGGTCCGGCATTAATTCCAAATTGTTGACAGCATGATAGTTAACTAAGAAAGCATCCCCAGACCCAAGCTCAGCAACCCCAGCAGTCTCCCCCTTATAAAAAACCTTAACATAACAAGAAGGCTTAACAGGTACAGTAAACGGGACAACACTTCTTGTCCGATATTCCCCCCTAGCTTGTCCTATAGACTGACAGTGAGCATGATATAACCGAGCTTCTAAGGACCAATCCACACTTTGTCCGGATAATTTTTCGTGATATCAATCTCAACCAAGACTCTCGCAATAGAAGGTCTAGAGCCTAAAGAAATGGTGGAGTCGACCTTAAGCGGATGTCCAAAAATCGACCATAACGATGAAGAATCCTTGGATTAAAGAGATGTGGTCGAAGACTAGTGAAAAAGATCCAAATAGGAATAACAGGGCATTCAATACTGATATCCAAAGAAGGAGACATTTAGTTAATTTCATATAGTAATTGTAAACTAGGTATGACCGATGGCTGAAAACTCGACTATAATCTAGGTCATTCTAAAGTTTAACAAAGATATGCATAGAATCGAGCATAATTATCGAAAAATCAGCGATAAACTTTAGTTTGAAAAAAAATTTCCTTATAAAGTCTAGACTAGGCCGCCGGGACGGTAAAAAATTGACAAGCGAAAACTAGAAAGGAGTTGCAAGTGCTCGAATTTATTCCTCAGAGATCCACAGAGAGGGAAGACCGCGAAAGGATGAAGACTTAAGCTCCGGGAAATACATATTAGACGGAGAACCAGCTAAGGCTTCGGTGATAGAACGCAAATAATTGGAAACATACAAAAAATTAGGGTCCAATAGACGCTTCGACGCCATTCCAGCCACAAACGGCTGGAAAATAAAAATGAAACAACACGAAAAGGTTCAAGAACGTAAGAGAAAGGGAAAGGAAAACTTTCCTGAGCGAAACTGCGGCGGATGCCGCCGGGGGGACGCCCCCGAGGCAAGCCCTAAATCGGAACGAGCTAGAGAGTCGCCTCAAAACGAGAGCACAAGCTTTAATAAGAACAGTGAATATTTTCTATACTTTCTGTTATAATATTTAGGTTGTAGATTCTTAACCTGTTTTATTTTTGTTACAATTTTATGATCAAAACAAGTGAAACATAAATTTTGTATAGTTTATTTTTCTTTGCATGTAGTTAATAGCTTATTTTTGTGAGAATAGTATTTCGAAAACTCTCAAATCTAATGGTTTTATGTATTAAAAATACAAAATATTTTAAAAGGAGAAATACTAAATTGTAATGAAAGTTCATGTGCTATTATGACTTTCTTCATTTTCAAAAACAATGAACTTGATACGTCGTTGAAAAATTATCTTGATCGAGCACGAATCTCGAGGCAAAAATAAATTTGGAAACTTCAAAAATTAATTTGGAGACCATCCGAACTCCGATTTCAGCAAAATTACAGTCGAACTGAGCGTCTCGGAAATACGAACCCAACGACACTAAATTCAACTCGATCCGAGTCCAAATGGGTCTCAATATTTAATTTTTGTCCATTGATTTTTTTTTTTTTTTTTTTTTGGTTGAAGAAAACATTTAGGGTAAACATTGCAGGTACAAAAATATTTGCTTAGGCTATATTTGGTTTGGAAAACAAAAGTAAATAAAAATGAACATGTAAGATGGGTTGTCATGTGAATGAATTATTCTGTGGGAATACCGGACGGTTCCCCTGTCTGATTTGTCTTGTGAACAGTAAAAACAGTTCATGCTGCGCTTTTACTATTCACAAAGATAAAACCGAACGTTTCTTCCCGTCCGGTGTCCGCACAAAATAATCTCTCAAAATGGACAGTGCACTAAGGTCTTAGTAATATTTCATTCAATTTTTTTAATAAAGCTAGGCAGGTAATTATTAATGATATTGAAACTAAGGAGGAAGATCTTGAGAGATCTTTCTTGCAAGAGATAGAGATAGGAGAGGGGAGAGCCAAAAATTCTGTAAACTTTATTTCACTTGGCCTCAATGCCTAAAACAAACTAAAGCCTATTTATAGGCTCCTATAAGCTATACAAATAGCTACACAAATGGCTATACTATGCCATACAAGAAACCTAAACAAAAATCAAACCTAAATCTATGAACAAATATCTAACAATCTCTACCTTATTCCTAGATTTTACAAAATAAAAGATAACCACTGTTCTTAAAGAACATCCAAAGAATCATGTCGGTCTCCTCCGTCAAAAGCGTCCACCGACAGTTAAAAATTTCTCAAGAACTGATCAACCAACTTCTTGAGTTTCTAGTTCCACCTTCCGACAGATCTTCACCTATCACACTGCGTCCAACGCAGCCAATCCCGAGCACCCCTAGCCCGGTTTCCGCGCCCAGTGCATCCACCTGCACCCTGCGCCTCAGTGCCCGCGCCCTGCGCCTCAGTGCCCGCGTCCAACACTTTCATCCCTGCGCCAGCGCCTTGCACCCATGTGATCTATCACCAACCACATCCTGCACGTATCCACCCGTGCAGCGAGCCCTGCGCCTTCACTTGCGCTCCGCTCGTCACCAGTGCCCCGCGCTCCTATGCTGCCTCCTCGTGCACCGCATGACCTCGCACCTCCAAGCGCCCCGCACTTGCAACACTGCTCTCCAAGAACAGCCGACACTACCTCAGTGTCTCCCGGACTCCACCTGAAGTCCAAAACTCCACCACAAAGAAGATCTAATCTCTTCTTTAAAGATCTGAACCGATCTTTTATTCAAAGAACAGAAAAATGTGCTTCCAAGCTAGTCAAGACCGATCGAAACTTGATTCAAGATCAAGCAAAAAATCCGGCCTCCGTGAGATCCGCCTGTTCCAGATGTCCCATTCTTTCTCACGTACAAAACCGCATGCCAAAACCAGCTTCCCTCTGATCCCGACGTCAAATCTTCTCGTGTCAGCAAGATTCGAAGTCCCGCTCGTCGGACAAAGCTTTCACGCCAACTCAAGAATTTCTTGAATTCACATCTGTCTTCTCAACTTGCTAGAAGACTTCTCTGCATAATCATT